TAGTCAGAAAAATACCAGCAACTCTTTTCATTATTTGTTGATTGTATACGAGCATGTATGACTCTGTTTTACAATCATACAAAAAAACCTAGTTATCGATCAGTACATCTTTTGTAGTATGTTTTTCATTAATATACATTTATAATACACACAGTTCTAGTAATACATGTTTGGATAGAAGAAGTTTTCCCGTTACCATTGTAACATATATTAAAATTGTGTGAATAAATACAAGTTGAATATTATTTCTTTATGAATCTTAGAAATTAATGAGAGAGGGACAGTTATTGAAAAATACGAAAACGAAATATCGTTTTATTATATATATTTTTTCGAATGAATATGAATAAAAAAAATTACTTCATTTACATTGTCAGTGATGACGTGTACATTCTAAACATGGTACGACTAAAATCCATAACTACTATTGAGCAGCTCTTAAATTATTGCAATATAGATTCAGTATATTCGGCAAGTAGACATCGTTGTTTAACTCTTTTGCCTATATAAAAACTAAAATGACGTTTATGCTTGTTTGATTCACATTATCAGCATGTCAATCGTATGCATAATGAGAAAAAAATACACAGACAATCTCCTTGGTTTTTTTTTCGTTCTTCTCAGCAAGAGAAAAAAAGCTTCATTTTGAAAGAATCGAAAAAAAATATACAACGTATGAGAAAAGATATCAATGATATAAATCTTATGTCACGCTTCACATGAAACGTAAATACAAATGGTAAAAAATAATCATACCATAAATGACGTTAATAGATTTTTTTCCTTTAATTTGTTTTTTGACAAGCATACCTTTGATTGATACTAGGCATAGGTTGTTATTGACTATTGATCAAAAAAATAAAATATTAACATTTGACCTCGTAGAAAGATCTAGAAAAATAAACAACATGCATCGAATATATAAATACAAAAGAGTGTGGGTGTGAGTCTTCAGTTCACGCACACTCACCTATCTAAATGTTAAGTCATAATATCTTCTAGTATTTTGATATAGTTTCTTCGCAGAAAGCAATGTATTTCATATGTAGATGCTCTATATTTGTAACCATGATCGATTATGACGAATATTTTAGCCGCAAGATCCCAATATGGCATCGTATCGGGTTTTTTCTTTTTATCGAAATAGGTGGACACTGGCATTCATCATTCTTTTTGTTGGTTTCTGTATAACATTCGATTTTATCAAGTAGATACAAACGCCAATTCAAATGCCGCTCTCCCATTGTTTAACAGTCTATTCTACACTAGCACACTCTTCATAGTTCAGTGTAAACGTTTTTAAAGCGAACAATATTGCGGAATAAAGTTAATTTACACCAAGAAAAATTTTTCAATGATCTTGTCAAACAAAATGAGTGTAAAATGCCTACAGCTGGTTCTTGCTCTTGCATATCCATTTGATTTTGATTATCTCTTTGATATGATCTTAATCATATTTAGTCTAAAGATTCTCGTAAATCAATGACCATGGAAAAGAAATGAAACGAATTTAGATTTAATAAACAGTTTTCGATTGCTTTTAATAGATTTTTATTTATTCAAATATGTCAATATAATAGAGAAATTTAGAAAAATACTAGTCACAAATTCTTCATTATATACCATTACCTACGAAGACAGCAAGAAAGAAAAAAATATATTACTGCGTTTATTCAGTAGTTCTTTATTTACATATTTTATCGCCATGTTTTGCCTCAGTGTACAGACACGAACAGCAGAAAAAAGATCGATGACATCCATAACCGAAAGTACCTTGTACGTTTTTTATTACTTTAGAGTTAAGAAAGAGAGTCATACTTTCAATATATCTCTGCCGATTTTTTTTCAGAAATTCTAGCAATTCTTTTCATTATTTGTCATTTGTAAGCGAATTTAGATGTTTACCCTCTATCACTGTGACGTACTTTGAAACTGTGCCAATCAGTAGTACTTTTCTGACATGAGTTCGAATATAAGTGAAATTTTCGTATTCACTTATGGTCGTAAAAGCCAAAAGGGAGCTAAATTTCTTTTAACTCAAGTTTTATTCAAGTAACGATTATTCTATCGAAATATAGGTGAAAATGTAGTCTAATATTATTCTGAATATTCATAATTTTCTAGATAGAATTAGATGTGAATTCATATATAAATTTTAAAGGGAATAAATTGAATGCTCGATATTATATAGGAACTTCATAAGTAAGCAAATCTAACTATGAGCACAAAATTTTGTATCCAACAACAGTTAAATTTGCTCATTGAATAGATACTACTTTATCAGTAATTGCGTCATTTTGATCTTTTTCTTTTTATAAAAAAAATAGATATATGTAATTCCCTGTTATTCAGATGAATATTGTAATTTTCTTGAGTGTTTCTATTTATGAATGTACGTTCAATTTATTCAATAACGATGAACACATAAAATGGACGAAGAAACGTCCATCTCAGCAAGAAAATATACCAAAGAATAAAAAGAGATGACTAGCATATAATGTGTGAGAACGCAATAGAAAAATTCTCAGCTGATGTGCACATAATCAACTAAACGTCTGAAAATAACATAAAATGATAAAATTGTACATGAAAATTCTTCTTTCTTGCCTAGGATACTAACTAATTGAGTATTGAACAATAAATCATGGTGTTATATAAATAACGAAAATTTTTGAAAGTATTTTTATATAAACATATAAAGTGAAGGGATAGCCAAGTTAAATTGCTAGAAAAAAACAAACGCCCTGTTGGAGAATTTAAATCTAAGAAACCATTACTAATGCAATAAACTCTTTGTTAACGATAGATATCAATTTCGGATTTAATTATTTTCCTGAAATAAAAACTGAACAATGACTAATTAAATGTCGAATTTATGAACTAATTTTTTACTAAGTAATAGTAAAGCGCTCATTGAAGTGTTTCATCTATTGTCGAATTGATGAATCGGAGCAGTTATTTTGGTTCAAATCGCTGATCAATGATCAACAGTATTTTCTACAGAAAAAAAAATCATTTTTCAATGGTTTGTTGCAATTAAAATTGAAATTATGCTTCTTCCTATTTTATTCACATGATCAACATGACAATCAAATACATGATTAGCAAAAACAACATCAAATTGATGGTGTTCTTGTTGTTTTCTTCACTCTTAATAGAGAAAGAAAAAGAATATACAACGTGTGAGACAAGGTATCTAATATGCAGTGTGACTCAAGTTATTGCACGCATGAATGAAAAATGAAAATCGCCGAAAAACTAATCATAAAGTAAATGATGTTATCAGTTTTGTCTCGACATTCAATTACTTTTTTTGACAAACATATCTTCAATTGACACGAAGTATAGTTTGTTATTGGGTATCATGGGAAAAAACCCACATCAGACTCCATAGAAAAAAAAAGCAAGAAAAAAACACAGAGCATCGAACGTATAAATAAAGCAAGTAAAGTTGCAGCATACAGCAATCGACTATCGTACCATTCACAAATAAACATCAAAAAACCAATACAACTGTCCAAATGAATCCACAACGAAGACGACGTATGCCTAAAAACAATTTGGTGATCTGGGTCGACGCCAACATCAATACGACTAACGAAGATTACCAGAAAAGTTTGCAGCAACTCGATGCTGTTGCCAGTAAAGTCAACATATGTACTACGGCAGAGGAATGTATTCAGAAACTCCAAGAAAACAACGAGAAGACATCATTCGTGATTGTCTCCGATATATTGGGACAACAGCTGGTACCAGGTATTCATGACATGTCCAAATTGAATGCCATATACATTTTCTGTGGCAACGAACCACAGGACAATGCATGGACAAAAGACTGGGCAAAGATCAAAGATGTTTTTACGTCGATTGAGCCCATATGCAACGCACTGGAACTGACGGTCAAACAATCTGATCAAGATCAGACGATGGTCAGTATCATCGGTAAAAATGAAGTTGGTTCTAGCAAAGATCTTAATCAGCTAGAACCTTCCTTTATGTATACCCAAATATTCAAGGAAATACTCGTTGATATGGAATACGGACAAAAAGCCATTCAAGATTTGGCAGAATATTGCCTTAAACAATATCAAGACGATGAACAAGAAATAGAAGATATTGAAGAATTCAAAAGTAGTTATCAGTCATCAAAAGCCATATCGTGGTATACTCGTCCGTGTTTCACATACAAAATGCTCAACAAAGCATTAAGAACATTGGATGGTGATATTATCATTAGGATGGGCTTCTTCCTACGTGATATTCACCAACAAATTGAAGATCTCCACAAGCAACAGCTCAATCTTGATAAGGAACAGTCATTTACCGTATATAGAGGTCAAGGGCTATCAATAGCTGATTGTGAAAAGCTCACAAATAATCAAGGTGGCCTAATATCCTTCAGTAATTTTTTATCGACAAGTACAGACCGCAAAGTATCTCTCGGTTTTGCTGAACAAGCCTCAATTAACAAAGATATGGTTGGCATTCTTTTTCAAATGACCATAGATCCTACAGTTTCATCGACTCCATTCGCTACCATTCGAGAAGAGAGTTACTTCAAAAAAGAAGAGGAAACACTCTTCTCCATGCACACGGTTTTTCGAATTGGTAAAGTTCGGAGGATTGATGAGAAAAGTTTCCTTTATGAAGTCGAACTTAAACTTACATCCGATGATGACCAAGAGCTTCGCGATTTGACCGATTATATACGTGGGGAAGTTGGCGGCGAAGGATGGTATCAATTGGGTGCACTGCTACTCAAAATAGGACAATTCAACAAGGCTGAAGAATTGTACACTGCACTACTACAACAGGCCTCTGAGGATAGTGATAAAGCACATCTCTATCACCAGTTAGGCAGAGTGAAATGGCAACAAGGTCAATATGAAGAAGAGATAAAGTTCTACGAAAAATCCCTCGAAATCGACCAAAAAACTCTACCAGAAGATGACCCTTCATTGGCTGATATTTACAACGACACCGCTCTCGCATATAATAACATGGGTGACTACTCGAAAGCACTTGAGTTTTACGAAAAAGCACTTAAAATCGACGAAAAAGCTCTACCTCCGAATCATCCCTCATTGGCTACTTCCTACGACAACATCGGCGGAGTGTATAGCGATATGGGTGACTACTCGAAAGCACTTGAATTTTACGAAAAAGCACATCAAATTCGCGAAAATGCTCTGCCTCCGAATCATCCCAATTTGGCTTCTTTCTACGACAACATCGGTCAAGTGTATAAGAACATGGGTGACTACTCGAAAGCACTTGAATTTTACGAAAAAGCACAGGAAATCTTCGAAAAAGTTCTGCCTCCGACTCATCCCGATTTGGCTATTTCCTACAGCAACATCGGTGGAGTGTATAAGAACATGGCTGACTACTCGAAAGCACTGAAATTTCACGAAAAAGCACGTACAATAAGAGAAAAAGCTCTGTCTCCAAATCACCCCTCATTGGCTACTTCTTACAGCAACATCGGTGGAGTGCATAACGGCATGGGTGACTACTCGAAAGCACTTGAGTTTTACGAAAAAGCACGTAAAATCGACGAAAAAGCTCTACCTCCGAATCATCTCGATTTGGCTACTTCCTACGACAACATCGGCGGGGTGTATAGCCACATGGCTGACTACTCAAAAGCACTTGAATTTTACGAAAAAACACAGAAAATCCTCGAAAATGCTCTGCCTCCGAATCATCCCAATTTGGCTTCTTCCTACGACAACATCGGTCAAGTGTATAAGAACACGGGTGACTACTCGAAAGCACTTGAGTTTTACGAAAAAGCACAGAAAATCTTCGAAAAAGTTCTGCCTCCGACTCATCCCGATTTGGCTATTTCCTACAGCAACATTGGTCAAGTGTATAAAAACATGGGTGATTACTCGAAAGCACTTGAATTTTACGAAAAAGCACATAAAATCCGCGAAAATACTCTGCCTCCGAATCATCCCAATTTGGCTTCTTCCTACAACAACATCGGGCAAGTGTATAATAACATGGGTGACTATTCGAAAGCACTTCAATTTCACGAAAAATCACTTAAAATAAAAGAAAAAGCTCTACCTCCGAATCATCCCTCATTGGCTACTTCTTACAGCAACATCGGTCAAGTGTATAACCGCATGGGTGACTACTCGAAAGCACTTGAATTGCACGAAAAATCACTTAAAATAAAAGAAAAAGCTCTACCTCCGAATCATCCCGATTTGGCTACTTCCTACAACAACATCGGTCGAGTGTATAACGACATGGGTGACTACTCAAAAGCACTTGAATTTTACGAAAAAGATCTCGAAATCACGAAAAAAGCTCTGCCTCCGAATCATCCCGATTTGGCTACTTCTTACAACAACATCGGTATGGCGTATTCCGGCAAAGGAGACTACTCAAAAGCACTCTCATTCTTAGAAAAGGCACTTGGTATCCGACAAAAATCACTTCCGCCATCACATCCTAAAATTCAACACACGAAAGATAATATTGACTATGTAAAAAAGGAAATGTAATTGTAATTTTTTCTTCTCGCTTGCTCAATAAATTTATACACATTGCTATTTATTTCGACTTTTCTCGGTTCATTTTGACTTACGCGCGCGCGACAAGGGACAAATCCCTTGCCAATGCCATAGGTACCACAGAACGGACCACGCCGGACTGGTAGGGCAATGGCCGAAGGTATGCCGTATGAACTGTAGAGACCAACAATACATAGAGGCCTCCCCTAGTACTACATTGCTTCGCTGTGGCACGAAAGTTCCTCTCCCTATTGAGTCAGACAACGTAGCTATCTGACTCATACTGATAACATTGAAAACTCAATTCATCTCATCTCGAAAGTAATCATACTCATACTCACACTCATACGAATAATAACGAACAGTATTTCTTTTTTCTCGAATAATTATTCTCAACTCAACTCAATGTATCACTGACTATGGATATACATATGTATGCATAGATTTTAGAAATTAATTCCATCCCGAATTTTTTTTAAGACTCAATCTCACATATATTCATACATGAAAATAAAGAGATAACTGCTGCAAAAAGCATGTTTTTTTTTAATATTTATTTCAAACAGAAATAAAAGGATTCAAGCTTTCGTGTTACATTCAGTGACACATCATCAGGAAACATTATGAAATATATTAACAAAGATATTACAAAAATATGAAAATGTTCATTTTGGGATGTATGGATTAAATTAACGTGATGCGACGATAAAGAACCATATTAAGTCAATAAACATTTTTCTTTTTTATTTAAGTACATGTCCGCATCAGTTCTAGAGGATGCATATTCAATACACCATAAGAATATGTATATGAATGTAAGTGTAGGACCACAATACAAATACTAATTAAATTATGACGATATATGTATAAATATATAAGTAAAACCAAAATTATAAATGGTAAATAATTTATAGTTTGTATACATATAAGAACAAGACATAGATAATAAATATTAAATAAACATTAAATATTTGTGTATGAATATATCTTTGTGACAAGTATGATAAATGCTCAGTGAATTATCTATGTATCAATATAAGTAGGACTAATATAGAATTACTAAATAAATAATAAGAACATGTGTAAATATATAGGTATGATTAAGATGATAACCATTAAATATATTATGACGGTGTGTGTATAAATGTATGCGTGAGACTTAGATAATGAGTAGAAGGTTATTTATCATAATCTATGTGTGAATCTATGAGTGAGACTATAATAATCAATATTAGATAAATAATAACAATGTGTGTGTAAGTACATAAGTAACATTTAAATAATCGAAAAGGTGTACTAATAATGCATATGTGTATATGAGTGCTATAGTTTATGCATAGATATATAAGTAAGATCAGGATGATCAATATTGAGCAAGTTATAATATTATAACTGTAAATATGGTTGTAAGATTGAGAAAATAAGTAATATATAATAAATGTATTTTATGAATCTGTGTATAAGTATAGATATAAAATCAAATAGTAAATATTAGGTGAATTCTAATAATGTATGTATCAATATATGAGCGAGACATGGATGATAAATATTCGATAAACAATAAAACTATATGTATAAGTATATAAGTAAAGTCAAGAAAATAAGTAATCAATAAGTATTATGAAATATGTATAAGTATATGTGAAAGATACTAATCGTATGATTGTGTGTATTAGTATATGAGTAAGACCAAAATACGAAAATAAAGAGATAACTAATTCAGTGACACTTCGTCAGGAAACATTATTGTATGTGAGTATGTTTGAGATGAGTTAATAGTGTAGATGAGAGGAGATGATTGTTCTAGTATGTGCTGTAGTTGTTTGATTGGATTCTTCAATTATGAGTATTGATTAAGTTGAGGTGATTTGAAAATAGCGAACATCAATAATAAACCAGTCAACATTGTAACGTGTTCTGAGTACAAATATAGGTGTAAGATGAAGAAGGTATATGTTAACTACAACATAAAAATATGTATCGATAAAGGTGTTGGATGAAAAAGTAAATTTTTATTTATTTATTTATTTATTTTTATTATTATTAATTAAATTATAATAATGTGTATTTAAATATGTAGGATCCAAGTGGTAAATATTCAATAAGTTATAGTGTGTATAGACATAAGAGTAAGGCATCGATAATAAGTGTTGACTAAACATGTATACTATGTGCATAAATATATCAGTCAGACTCCGATGATATATGTTCAGTACATTCTAGCATATATAGTTATATAAGTAACATTCAGATGATAACTTCTAAATAGATAATAAGAATATGTCTAAAAGTATATGAGTAAAATCTTTTTTATTATTATTATTATTCTTTTTTTTTTTTTTTTAGATGATAAATATTAAGTGAATTATACGAGTGTACATGTAAATCTACGAGTCAGACCAAGATAATGAATATATAGTAATTTTTAACAATAAAGTAAGAATATGCAAGGTAGACCATAATGACAGAAACCGAATAGATAATACGAATATGTGCATAATATATGAGTAAGACATAGATACTAAATATAAAATAAATTGTAACAAATGTATCCATATATGAGTGAGATCATAATGATCGGTGTTAAATGTTAGTATGTATCAGTATATGAATATAACATCGATAGTTCAGATTGAATGAGCAATGAGACCATGTGTATAAATATATGAGTCATATTAAGAAATTAAATACTGAAAGAATCATATGAACATATGTCAAACTATAAGAAATCAAATGATGAAATAATCATATGAAGATATGACCAACTATAAGAAATCAAATAATGAAGGAATTATATGAAAATATGTATAATTATAAGTGTAAGGTTAGGAGATTGAATAGTCAAAGAATTAGATGAAAATGTGTTAAATATATGCGTAAGATCAAGAGGACAATTGATTTATTTAAATATGTATACGTGTAAGTATAGAATTTAATTCTTAAACAAATTATAGGACCATGTGTACAAACTTATGAGTAGGATGAAGAAAATATGAGTATGCGTAGAATCAAGAAGATATGAGCCAGACCAAGAAATTTAAGTAATGAAATAATTATATAAAGGTATGTCTAATTATCTGTGTAAGATCAAGAAATTAAATAATGAAAGAATCAAATGTAGATGTGTCTAAATATATGCGTAAGAGCAAGAAGATAGTTGAATTATATAAATATGTATATGTGTAAGTGTAAGCGTAGAATCTAAATTTTTAACAAATTATACGACTATGTGTATAAATATACGAGTAGGATCAAGAAAATATGAGTTAGATCGAGAAATTAAATAATAAAAGAATTATATGATGATATGTTTAACTATCTGTGTAAGATCAAGAAATTAAATACTGAAAGAATTATATGAATATATATTTAAATGTAGGTATAAGAGCAAGAAATTAAATAATAATAGAATTATATGTAAATATATCCAACTATAGATGTAAGGTCAAGAAATTAAATAGTGAAATAATTATATGAAGATATGTCGAAATATAAGTGTAATATGAACAAGACAATCGAATTTTATATATATGTATAAGTGTAAATATAAATATGTGTAGGATCAAGAAAATATGAGTCAGATCCAGAAACCAAATGATAAAAAAAAAATATTTATATGAAAATATGTCCAACTATAGGTGTAAGATCAAGAAATTAAATAATGAAAGAATTATATGAAAATATGTCTAAATATATGTGTAATATCAAGAAGATAATTGAATCATATACATATGTATCAGTGTAAATGTAAGCGCAGAATCTAACCCTATAATAAATTATAAGATTATGTGTATAAATATATGAGTAGAATCAACAAAATAAATAAACAACAAATTATTAGAATATATATCCTAATATATGAAACTATGTATGTAAGCATGATTATAATTATATGAATATAAATATATGAAAGACGTGAGAATGAGCAACTTAAGTAAACTTACGTGATGAATGCGAAGAGTGTCGACCTTTAAAAGGTGGAACATCTCTTACAACATTCAGGAGTAAGTTCTAAGTATTTATTTTTGGGACAATATAAAGGAAAGAAAAAAAGAAGAAAAAAAAACAGAAAGAAAAGGGAACAGTATGGTGTGAGAAATGTCGACCTTGATATAAGGCGGAGCATTTTCTACAACACCTTCTATGATGAATGAGGAATTCTTATTAAACTAGTATGTACATAGGTAATGTTATTAGTATTACTGTTATGAATGATGGTTATTGTTTAGCTAACTATTTGGATGGTATGTTTTGTTTCGTTTATAGAGTTTCCTAGTGTTCGATTAGTTAGGATATTCTCTTTAATTATTCGTTTTCTCCAGTCACTTTCATATGCTAATGTTTCCGTTTTAGAAAAGTCAAAACTCTGTTTATATTTCAGAATATGTTCAACGAGTTTTGAGTCCGATGATAATGCTCTTATTTTAGCTTCATGTTCTTTCATACGGGTGTCCTTCAATCGACTAGTTTCTCCAATGTAGATTTTATCACAATTTTTACACGGAATAGAATATACTAAGTTCTTTTTCTTTTTCTCTTGGCCAATGCCTTTAAGTTTGGGTAGGAAGATACTTCTTAAGCTCATATGTTTCTTAAAGGCGAACTGAATTTCCAGGTTTGGAATTAATTTTTTACATAATTTTTTTACTCGAGAAGCAAATATAATGGATTCTTGTCCATAGTATTTAATCGTGAAGAAAATAACATTTTTGCTTTTATTCTCATCTTTCTTAGTATTCGACAATGACTTAATGAGTATCTCCCCTTCAGTAATACCTCTTTTTATAATGTGCGGTGGATATCCATTGTTAGTTAATGTTTTTCTTAGTAGATCTAGTTCATTATTTATTATCTCTTTGGTTGAACAAATTCGATAGATACGTGTTACTAGCGTTTTTATAAGTCCTAGTTTATAACGACGGCTTTGATTACTATCCCATAACAAATATAAACCTGTGTGAGTTGGTTTTCGTTACATTGATGTAATTAGTTTATCTCCTCCTTGAGTTACTCGAACATCAAGAAATGGGATGGAATTTTCAACTTCAAATTCAGTAGTGAAATGTAAGTTACGATGCCACTTATTAATACGCATGTGAAATTCATCAATTTTTTCTTTAGGAATAGTAAATATACAGAAAATGTCATCGACATACCTTAGCCAAATCATCGGTTTGTTGGTACTAAATCTATTTAATTTTTCTTCTATCTTTTGCATCCATAAATCGGCAATAATAGGTGCTAGAGGATTACCCATCGCTACTCCATCTATTTGTTTATACATTTTATTTTGAAATCTAAAAGTTGAGTCTCTTATCGATAGATTCAAAAGTATTTTCATTTGTTCTTTATCAAAGGGAACATCTACTAATTTTGTTGGTTTATAGATATAGTTTAGTGTTACTTCTATTGCTTCTTCAACTGGAACATTCGTATATAAACTTTCCACATCAAAACTGCACATAGTGTAAGTTTTTCCTTTTTCTAGTGTTAACTCTTTTATTCTTTTTACAAATTCGAAGAATCTTTTATATATGATTTTGCTTGTGGACGCGCATTTCTAATTGCTTTTGCTAGATATTTTGATAATTCATATTGATAACTACCTATAGTTGATATTATAGGACGTATAGGATAACCAATTTTAGTTGCTTTTGGCAGACCATAAAAGACTGAAAGTGAAGAACATGTTGATTGTAGTTGATAACGAAGTTTATTATCTATGACTCCTTTTTTAAATAATGAAAAAATATATTTATTCAATTTTTCTTCTTGTCCTCGATGAAATTTATCATTATTCCATGGTTCAAATTGTTTACCTTTAAGTATTTCCTCAGCTTTTTTCTTATATATTTCTTTATCAAGTATTACAATAGAATTTCCCTTATCGGCATTACATATAATTATGTTATTATTTGATTTTAGTGATTTTAACGCTGCTAATTCTTCCTCTGATAAATTACTTATTTTCTTATGTTTAGATGTACGTATTAACTGTTGTGAAGCATTATGTATCTGACGACAAATAGATCGAAAAATTGATTCATGACAATGAGGTCGTAGTTTCATTGCATTTAATTCTAAATTTGTTTCAAAATCTAAGAAATTCGTTATCTTATTCTCTACACAAAAATCCCAACCGCGACATAATAATCTTTCTTCTACCTTTGAAAGAGTATATGATGATATATTATAAATTAATTTTAATTTCATTTCTTCGTAATTTTGTCCAGTAGGACCTCGATTTAATTTTTCGAGTTTTTTTTGGTGATTACTCATAACTATAGAATGTACTCGACATGCTGAATTATAAAAGAACTTCTTTATATTAATATAATCGATTGAAGAAAGATGTTTTTCTAATTCTATTAAAATAGATGAGACTTGTTTTTCTAAATGTCTCGCTTGTTTTTGTCTACACTCAAATTCACGCATAAGACAATTACGTTGAAGAGATTTATATTGTTCTGATTTTTTAAGACCAGGTTTCCACAGACGGATATTAACAAAATTAGGCATTAAATTATAGATTAAACAACAACGAAGGAATTCGACATCACATTTAGCTTTTTGTAATTTTTCTGTTAATCTTTCACAATGTCGTATACTTACCAGAATCGATTCGCCATATTTCAAGCGAAGATTAGAAATAAATTTAGGAGAGTGAGCAGTAGGGAAAAGATATGAAAATAAAGAGATAACTGCTGCAAAAAGCATGTTTTTTTTTAATATTTATTTCAAACAGAAATAAAAGGATTCAAGCTTTCGTGTTACATTCAGTGACACATCATCAGGAATGACAATAAAAGATCATTCATTCTATTTATGTAGCAAGAAGAATGAGAAAAGAACAACGTCAGACGAACACTTGTTCAATATATAAGAAAAAGAACAAATCATACAATCAAAGGGTCAATGCCGGCAATAACATTCAAACAGAGCGACATTTTCTTAAACACAAAATATTTTTTTTAAATTTTTTATTGATAAGAAACATTATGTTAGGAATAAGTAGTTAATCGAAAACTCTTTTTATATTCTGCACTAACATTTTCTTCTCATCAATCGATTGTTTATATTAGACTGGTTCTCTTGATTAAAGTTATGGAAAATTTTTAAAACTGAAGAGTAAAACATGCGAATAACTTATATAAGTTCATTTAAAAAACAAAAACAAAAAAGTATAGGATTTTGAATTACAGTCAGCTTTTATTATTAAACACAATCATCTATATTAATTTCAATTGATTTTATAGAAATCAAATATATACAAGAGTTACAATGAATGTTATAGAAATCAACTATTATTTATATTACTCTCATTTGACATCATAAAATTCAAATATTTATATTTCTTCTGTTTCATATTTTAATAGTCAAATATCTGTAGCAATACTATCAATACTATAAAAATCAAATAATTATATTAATGTGAATTAATATTTTTAAAGAAATCCAATAGTTATATGAATTCAACATGATATTGTATAATTCAAATATTTTTATTAATTTCAATGGATATTATAGAAATAGAAAATGTATATTAATTTCAATTCATATTACAAAAGTAGGGGTGGGATATTTACTTTACTTTTTAGTTACTTTACCAAAGTAAAGTAACTAAAATAGTTACTTAGTTACTAGTAAATAGTAACTACATATTTACTTAGTTACTAGTAAAGAGTAACTACATAGTTACTTAGTTACTAGTAAAGAGTAACTACATATTTACTTAGTTACTAGTAACTAGTAACTACATATTTACTTAGTTACTAGTAACTAGTAACTACATAGTTACTTAGTTACTAGTAACTACTAACTACAGTAGTTACTTAGTTACTTGTAAATAGTAACTGCAGTAGTTAATTTATAGAGATGCACCAATTCTAATTCATAGAATAGGTCGGCATCGGTTAGAATAGCAATTGCAATTAATTAGAATCAGCAGTGATTACGAGTAGGCATATCACAATTCCTATCCATTATTAAGCTATTGGCATTGAAGAATGTCATTTTGCTATAGTTCTAAGCTTTTTGTTAAAGAAGAATTTTTCAGACAATAACAATTTGTGGTAAAATTTGACCAAAGATAATCGAGGTTGAGAAATCCGAACGTACAGTCAGATTTACA